CCGCAGCAGTCAGCCTGAACCGTAAACCCTAAACCCTCAACCCTAAACCCTAAACCCTCAACCCTAAACCCTAAACCCTCAACCCTAAACCCTAAACCCTCAACCCTAAACCCTAAACCCCAAACCCTCGGCCTCGTTCAGCTTGTACAGGTCTTCCGCTTCTAGCCGCTGTTTGGTTGTCAGAGTCTCAGGGGTGGCGATGTGGCTTCTAGGACTCAAATGCTCAGTGCTTAGGATTTAGGGTTTTATGGGTTTGGGGTTTAGGGTTTGAGGTTTAGGGTTTAGGGTGTAGTAAATTAAGATTTAGGGTGTAGGGTTTAGGCTAGAATAGCTACCTTCAGTGGGGCTATCCAAGACTCCACTTGCAATCGCTTACTGGCTTAATCCCATGATGCTTCAAGTAGTGATTCCGGCGCAGAAAGTTGGGTCGTGTGCTTCGGTGCTGGGTATCGAGCTTAGAAGGCTTTAACGGCTTGGGGCTTCGCCTTCATCGTTTGCGGGGTTTTAATGATTTAAGGACGTATGCTGCTACGTGTTGAGTCTCAGGGTAACATGGCTCCCCCCTATACTCCATATACTTTGAGGTATAGTCCTTCACTTAATGGCTTCGGGAGTCTCTGGCAAAACGTCTGCGTTTTCCCTGCACCTCGGACATGGGTTCAATGCTTTCAGGATGTCGAGGTTCAGGTATGTGAGATGTTGAGTCGACGGATTCGGACTTAGGGTTTAGGGTTTAGGGGTTTAGGGTGTAGGGTTTAGGGTATACGGTTTAGGGTTTAGGTATGCGGGATGTTGAGTTGAGTCGACGGATTCGGACTAAGTTCATGTCGGACCTTACTTTACGGATGAGAGTAGTACTCATCAGGGCTCCTTAAAATAATTATACCACAAAATACCCCCAAACCCTACTACAGTTTAATCGTGAAGGGTCCGACCAAAACCTTTTCTAGCAAGCTTAAAAGGACCCTTGTAGAATCGCCGAGGCGGACGTCGGCCTGCAGCACCGTCCGCAGGTACATGGCGCCAAGCCCCTAAACATCTGAATCGTCAGCAGAAACTACCGCGAGCCATGCAACGCGCGAGGGATAGAGGGCATGCTTTCATTTCATGCAGTAGGGACCTATACGTGTCCCACACCCGAAACCCTGAAACTTAAACCCTAAACTGCCTTAAATCCCAAACCTCTCAAACATAACAAGCCACAGGGGTTTCAGGGCTTGGGGGTCTTTGAGGTTGATGGATAATTTTCTAAATTAGGGTCGGGGTCCTTTTTATAAGGGTGCCGTACTATATTGGGGACCCAAAAAGGGACCCTAATTTTGACAACTACCCTGATGGATTTGGGGCTCTTCAGACTTTACCGGCTTTGGGCTCGGAGCTGGGATCTCGTTGAGCATCCGAGAGCCTTCGGACTCGGACCCTTTCCTGGGAGTCTCTGCGCAAACTATACAGTACAGTAGGGTTCCGTAAAGGGTTTAGGGTTTAGGGTTTAGGATCTATAAGGGTTGCTATTATAAGGGTGGTTTAGGGGTACTTAAAGGATCATGGGACTTAGTAAGTAGGGTAATTAATTAAGCTATCTGTACTTATCTTTATTTCTAACCCCAAGTAAGGGTTTTATAACCTTACTTACTAAGTCCCATGATCCTTCAAGTAAGTCACCTGCAGATTGTTTACGTAGCACATTGCGAAGTTCCTTCCACCCCTGCTTCCTCCATGACGATGAACGCTGCTTCTCCTGCTGCTGCCGCCGCGACTGGGACCACGACGACGAGCACGACTGCTGCCGCTACGACGACAACGACGACTACTACTGCGACGGAGATTCGCGTGTGACTTCTATTGCGCCAGCACTGTTTTTGCAGTGCTCACACGCAGCTGTCGTGGAGCGTCGCCTGAGCGGACGTGAGAATGCAGGTATCTGCATGCATAGAAATTTGGAAGACACACACTGTACCGAATAGCCCCGAACCCACTGCAACCCCAAGGAAATTAAGCCAAAAAGAAAGTTCGAAGCAATCACGGATAACTCAGAACAACCAAAACCAACAACGAAGCAGAGTCATGGTAATGGCAACACCAATAGTAATAGTCAGAAAAAGAGACTGGTGGCGTTATAGAAATAACAATAACAATAGAAGCAACAACAGCAATAGTAACAAGCATAATAGTCAGATAACAATACAGGAAGAATGTTACAGTAAAAGTACTAGCAGGAGCAGAAGCAGTGGCAGTAGCAGCAGTTTTTTTGCTAGTGCCGTGTGCGCTGTGGTCTGGCGCACTTTGGCGCTTGCCCTGAAAAAAGAGAGCGGAGCTTTCGCTTTATGCCTATATACTGGTGATGAGGGAATTTGGCGGTGTGGTCTGATTTCCAAATGTTAGGAAATTCTCTCTTGGTAGTGACCTCTAACCATCCAGAACCCCTTGCCTCTTCTTCGACCCGTGGTTATAAATCATCCTTGAAAGCCGCTGATAAAACAACATTATGAATGGGATCAGTTATCGGGGCAACAAATACGTCAGTTAGGAGCTTAAGCCGAAGGTTTCTCAAGGATTCAGAAGGGAGTTGTGGTTTGTTTGCCTTGACATAAACCACGCTGTTGGGAATCCTGGAGATATAGGTAGCGGGAATGTTAACTATTCTGCGGAGAAATCGATAGTAACACCCATCTATCCTCTGAAGTGCTTTGTAATCGAGGGTAAATGCATCTAGCCCGTACGTACGGACTGCGGGGAAGGTGGACTGAAAGATACGTAGCTTTACTTTCTGCGGCAGAGAACTATTCCATAGGAGCCTAAGTTTTTTGTAAGCCTGTTCCGCTAAAGCAGCCCTGTGTTTGAAGGCTACTGAGAAGGAGCTCTCCCAAGAAACCATAGTGCCTAAATATTTTACCTGCGTTGTGGTCGGAACGGGTGCACCGTCCAGAAACTTAAGTTTTGGTGCTGGGGGCAGGATGCTCTATAAAGAATCTCCGTTTTGGACGAGTTTAAAGACATGCCGTAGAGTGGGGCTTCTTTTTCAACCTGGTGTAGCATTTGTTCCAACTGCGGTGTGGTCAGCAATAGCAGCAGTAGCAGTAGCAGTAGCGGTAGCGGTAGCAGTAGTAGTAGTAGTAGTAGTAGTAGTAGTAGTAGTAGTCGTAGTACTCACTCACTCACTCACACTCGCAGCAGTGTCCGAAGTCTGCTCAGCGAAGAGGGCACGCTTTGCGCGGCAGCTGTGCTGCAAGGCGTTTTGCCTTCCTCCCATCCTAGCCTAGTCGCCCCGTAGGGCCCTTGAGCACCAGGCTAACTACTTTCTGAGAAAAGCTTGATGCCAAAACTGACTAACTACCGCCTTCCAGGATCCGGATACAGAAAAAGCACGTAAGCATTGCGAAATATGACAGGTACATCACTACGAGTAACAGGCGAAGCAGCAACACCATCATCAGTCCACCACATCCGGCCTGTAGGCTCAAGCAAAACTGTACGGTAGTGTCCGCTGCTTGGGGTTTCTCCTAAATGAACAATAGCTGCTCCTAAGCGAAAGCTACGCTCACTCACTGTACCTTCTACCCAGCAGGGGAGGTAGACACTCCGTGGCAGTGCTACTGCCGTAAAGTCTTTGCTCACTGTGCGTCCTGCCGTCCTGAAGCGATTCAGCTGTATCGCAACGCAAGCTACTTCGGCAGTCAAGGTAGGGCTGCCCGGGGAATGGTGCCACGCATGGATGACACTTTGCAGGGGGCAAACACCACGGGCAGTAGGAAGGTCCGAGAGTATCCTGTTTAAGAACAGCGGGCACACTCCCCCGCTATCCATCAAGGAACCATCTGTTAGAACGGCCCAAGTGCCTTGAAACCACCTAAGCTGACATTCCTGATGAAAATGTCCTAGAAAATCCGCCGCATCATGCTGTCTTCCACAGTGAGGCCACCGATTCATGTACCTGCGCCATGGTGCGCGTGACCAGATGTGTATGGGGCCCTCCTGAAACGTTAGGGCACTCAGATCCCTGCAGAGGGAGTCTTTTACCCAGACCTGAGACGGGGCATGAATTTCTGAGACCCACATACAAGCAAGGATGACTGTGTTCATGTAACATTCATTGTCACGGTTCCTTAGGGCCAATCTGCATATGTGCTGAAGAGTTGCCGACGTCTCAGCTCCTGGGCGATGGTCTGTGCAAGGGCCGATCGCTGGCGCCGTTCCCTGCGAAGGGTAGTCGCCACTAGCTGGAGCGATGCATTGCCCGATAGGGACTCCATGATTGACCAGAAGCGGAACGCCTTCGGTTCCCGAAGGCCCACGGTTAGGCTGAACGTAACTGTTGGGCCCGTCATGTGCTCTGCCAGTGTCCTGGTCGGATGAAAATTGATGAGGACCCCGTCCACAATGCTGAGCACTATGGACTCGTCTAGGAGGGAGAGAACCTCCTGCATGCTCAACGGAGCAATGCTGGGTACCTCGCGTAGGGCCTGTGCCTCCTTGTTCCACTGGACAAACTTGAAGTGGCCCGTGTCGGTCAGGATTCCCCGGCGGACAGCCTCCTGCATCTTGTCCTGATCTGTCTGCAGCTCGTGAACCCTCTTGTGCATCTCGTTGGCCCATGTTTGGTACAAGATGACCCTCATTGGCTGCTGTAGGCTCGCCGGCTCTTCGGCCTTCATGCGATGCCATTCGGTGCCGATCTGATGAAGTAGTGGCAGCGTCGTGAGTGGTGGAGCTGTGCCGAGAAACATGATCCATCCGGTGGACGTCTGCATCCCGTTCCAGAAGTTGTCGTGCCGGATGAGCAACTGGGCCATGTGCTCCACCAGGCTGTCGTTTCCAGAAGGTCTGGAGCGTGGGTTGCCGGAGCGGCCTGTCTGAGCATTGCTCTGTTGTCCCTGGAACTGAGGCCTGGTGCGTCCTCGTTGGGTCTGCTGCTGATTCTCCGTCTGAGTCTCGAGGTGGTGGCCCTTGCCCTGGTCCGTACCCTTTCCGTTGTTGGTTCTGGGGTACTTGGGCTGTGACGGAAACTGGCTGGGACGGGGCTGCTGCCGATTCTCTGAGTGTCTCGGGGGGGTTTGAACCTCCATGGTAGACGTCGGAGGGAGAGCTGGCATGGCTGACGATGGACCCTGCGCTGGCCCAAAGAAGTTCTGACCCTTGAGAGCCATGGTTTGGATGTGCTGCAGCTCCGCTGCCGCTTCCATGAGCTCGTCTCGGGAAACCCCCTCCAGGTCCATCCTGCAGAGCTTGCGGGTTTGATGGTAGCCATAATGCAGTGAGAAACTTCGCTAGTAGTATAACGGGACATTCCGCAGCATGCTTGGTCTGATGACACTTGAAGGCCTTTCCACAGTAGCGGCAGGGGGAGCACAGGACGAGTTGTCTCCTCTGGCTTTGAGCTGAGCTGCGAGATTGCTCCAGCGCTGAAGATGCCCAAGGATGGAAGGCTTTAACATGCTGAGTGATTCCACGAAAACGGATCATCCACTGGTTGCAGATGGGGCAGTACTGGCTCAGTTGGGATCCCAGTGCCTTCAGGCGGATACTTACTTTCTCCCATCCCTCATGCACACACTCTGAGATTTGACTGTCCCAGTACACAGCTGGGCGAGTTTCGGTTGGCTCAGGAGGCTGTAGCTCACTCCCATCCGGGTAGAGTGCAATGCACGACTTGGTGAAGATATGCACTTTTAAGTCATCCCACGAATTGCAGGACCGATGGCAGTGCCGACATATGCACAGCCCTTGCGAGGAGTGCAGCCACACGAACCTCGTTTGCGGATCCGCTCCCTGCAATTCAGTGGGCAGCGCGATCTGCATGGAGGCATCCTCCGCATGGGCCTGGACCTGGCGCCTATGTCGGGGTTTTTCTGGATCCGCTTGAAGGGGCTTGTTCTCGGGAGACTCTTCCGCGGTCATGGTCTTCTGATCCTCCTCAGTTACCTCGCTGGTCGGAGGTGCCACTGTATGCACAGCCCTCTCGTGCACCCTAAGTGCTCCTAGAGAACCAAAGGTCCGCTGACAGTAGCTGCACCGCAGCTCCCTTGGAGCATGAGCCCTTCTATCTTCCTCCAGGTCCTGTAATTGGTATCCATCAGAACTGTTGAGGGATTCTGCATCGCGCTCAGCGGAGGAGTACCGGAAGGTTTGTTGTAACACCTCCAGCCAGGGCCTGATGCCCGATCTACTCAGAAAGAGCTGTGGCCTGGTTTGAGTACTCGGCAGCTGCTGGCATAACACATACCACGGGTCCTCTACTTTAAGGCGCTGGAGGATCTCGGCTGAGGGTACATGCCAGAGGTGAGCTGGCGAGCGGGCTATCATTCTTAATTGTCTGTTTACAGCCTGACGGATAAGAAGTGGCCCTTGCGAAGGCAGACCTACACTATGTAGGGAGTATCTGAGTACTGTGAATACGCAGACTTTCCATAACCGGACCTTGGTGCCTAGGCTCAAGGATCTGGCCTTGAAAATGTGATGCAGGCGCCAGAAGCTGCCCCATGAGACATCCAGTCTGTGCCGCAGGTTCAGTAGCTCAAAGCCCTTGTAAGCCAGCTTGGCGCCTAGGTAGCGGTGTGCGGTTACAATCTTGAAAGGGAGCCTACATTGACCAACCGGTATGACTAAGTGGGGCACATCCTCGATGTATTTGCGGTGTTTGGCAAGAACAGACGGCGCGCTGGTACCCCCCAATGCCAGCAGGATAACAGTCTTCTCCATGCTGAGCTGGAGCCCTGCTTTTTGGAGGGTGGTAACCAGTACGCCTACGGCTCTTATGGCCCTTGCAAAGCCTAGAGAGTCCTGGACCGTCCAGCTGCCGAAAAAGTCATCAGCAAAGATGTTGATGAGGCCCTCCGGAAGAGACTGAGTTTTCAACTCTGCCTGAAACATTCGGTACACTTTCCCCGTTATCAAAGCCCATAGCAATGGAGAGAGTGAGCATCCCTGGCGGACTCCCGTTCCTAAATAGACGTCGGCCGATTCAGCTGATCTGCCCACCTGCAGACAAGCACGTTCATGCAGATGCATCACTAAGCTGATTTCCTGTTGATCAAACCCAGCATCTATCATCGCCTCTTGAAGGAAATTATGGGGCAGACTATCAAAGGCCTTTTTGATGTCAAGGCTGATCGACAAACCTCCCACTAGCCTGTGCGGCTGGCCACCTAGAAACCTTTGAGGCAAAGAGGAGGAGCCACTTGCAATGAGGTCACGAACTTGAAGGAAATGCGAGCATACTGACTCGAGTGCATCTGCCGTTGAACGGCCCTTGAGATAAGCCCATTGCGGCACCTCCCGAAGATAGCTCTCAATTTTGGGCTCCACTTTATGCGCTAGCATGATTGCCAGGATCTTGTTTCCTGGATGTAGTAGAGCAATTGGCCGTAGGTTTTTGGGCTCTCGCACTATGGGGACTTTGGGAATAAGGTGTAGCTGAACTTTATGCCAGTCCTCATGTAGAGCCGAGGCACTCAGATTCACGGCTGGCAGGAGTGCGGACACAACCTGATTTGCTGCCAATTTCCAGAGACGGGCGGGTGCGAATCCGGCTGGTAGAGCTTTGCTCGGACTGATCTTCGCAATAGCTAGTTTCAAATCCTCAGAAGAGAAGTGTACTCCATTTATGCCGGAGGCCGGTGGGAGCTGCGTGATGTCTCGGCTATGGTACACTCCTCTTAAGAAGGCTGCTATGTGCTCCGATTCTTCCTTTCCTGCTAAGAGCGAGCCCTGATCATTCCTGAGCTGTACTCTCATGGTTCTGGATTTGGGAGCTAAACGTCGCACCACAGAGAAGATGGTAGAGGGAAACTGCGAGGATTCCGCTTCCTGGAGCAACGTTTCCACTCTCTCTCGCTTGCGATCACGACAGGCCTTACGAAGCTGTCTCTGTAATCTGGACAATTTGGTCGCTAGAAGCCAACCCCGCAAAACCGAGTGAGAGCCTGGCGGCTGGGACTTCTGCCGGCGTAGTGCCCAGAGCTGCCGGACTAGCCCTCCCTCCTTGCGTGGAGGATTTTGCGGAGGCGTAGAAACCTCCGATGGGCCAACATCCTTCCAGGCCTGCAGAATTACCCTATTTAGCACTTGAGCAGGGTCGCCTTGCATGGCGGTCGGCGGAGGCATGAGTTGGCACATCCTGATCTGAAACTGCTCTTCGAGGTTTGGAAGACTTTGCAGATGCTGCATAACCTCCTTGGCTGCTACGGAGGATTGTCTGGTCCGACTCTGCTTTGGAGGCTGTGGTTTAGGCATGGAGGCAAGGATGGGAAAGTGTCGCATGCCCTTTTCCGGTACGAAAGGAGCCCGTATCGTGCGGGCTCCTTTGGCAAGGGGGTCTCCTTGATGAGCTCTGCATAGTATGAAATCAATTTGGGTACGATGTTGACCACCTGCATGATCGAACTGATACGTGTGGCTGTAGCTTTTCCTTCCCCATGTGTTCAAGGCCACCAAGTTGTGGTGCACAATGAGCTGCTGAAATCTATGTTGGTCCTTTTGTCTGACAGCCCGTGTGATGGGAGCCAATCCCGTACCTACATGAGGTGCCTGCTCCTGGCAGGGGGCGTTGAAGTCGCCAGCCAGAATCAGTTGGCAGCGCCAAGGCGTTCCTCTTATCAATTCACTCAAACGAGTCCAGAAGATCTCCCTGTTTGCTTCGCACTCCACGGCTCCCTTCGCTTCTGACCATACATGCTGGTAGGTTCCTATGATACATATTGCCGGGGATGTTTCCAGCCTCACAAGAATAAGACGTCCCGGGATGGGGGCCGTGGTTCTTATGGCAGAAGGGGGGACTAGGCTCTTATGTATCATAACCAAGATGCCTGCTTTTCTGTTGTTGAGTCCAGTGTGAATCATGTGATAATGAGCTGACATCCACTCAGAGTCAAAGGACCAATGAGTCTCAGTGAGGATACAGGCATGAATGGTGGTGCCAGCCTGATGACACGCATCTAGCCATGTCTCTATCTCCACCAAGCGGGTGGTACTCAGTCCTCCAGTATTCCACGTGAGGATGCGCCACCTGTCTGGGAGCTGTTGCAGCGGGCCAGGTCTTCCTGGTGTTCTGATAGACCGCTGGGGACTACCACTGGGCTCTGTCACCCTACCTGCGCCTAGGGTCTGAGGGGTGTGTAGGCGGCCGCGGTATGTGGTAACTCCCTGCTGTTGGGCCTGCCGTAGTGCCCTGTGGAAGGATCGTTTGCCAGTTTTGGTAAGCGTATCATATGTAGTTGGGCGGATGGGATGGGAATGCCATTGTTGTGTGGCATCTCCGCGAGGCTTTGCTTGTGTTGTGAAGCTAGGGATGCTGTTAGCATGGTAAGCTTCAGG